CGCCAATGAAATAGGCGTGATAGTTGGGCTTCTCCACTAATACGATCAACACAGACTGGACTAGACAGCACCTAAGGAAGCGCACAAACCTTAACGAAATGACTGGATGACTTGACTCCTGCTGAATGCTGCGATGATCAGGTTTCGGCGGGCACGGTTGTCCTATGGATTTCGGAGGTTCAGTGCCAAATATCTTTAAAAATCCCAGTTATATTCAAACATTTGATAATAAAATTTGTTTCCTAAGAATACTCCACCTGTTCACAATTTGCTATGAGCACTTCGACAACGACATTGCAGAATTTGATATCCATAATTGCAGCCATTGTCTCCTCTTTCGGCCGTAAAAGCGTAGGACCAAAGCACACACCCAAATTGCCTACTGTCATCAGATTCTCGCCACAACGGTCTGCCACTCTGAAATAGCAGTGGCTCACAAAAGCTTGGAGAGCAACAACGTTTTTGTTGACAAGGCATCAGGTGGACACTGGAGATTCATATTTAATCATTTCATTAAAACTGTAAAAGTAAGCTGACCTATTTAAAAACCTAGGATATGATCAATTATCAAGCCTACTCAAAGTCAACTCCATTGAATGCTATTCTGATCCTCTGAAGCAGCGAGGCCGTCAGTGTTTGTGTCGCGGGTGAACGGGCACATGAGAGGCCCAAAGTGAAACCTTCCTGTGATTCTCTGTCCTGGACAAGAGCAAGTACCCCTCCCAACCTCAGCCTCCGAGGTCGCGACAAGGTGAAGACACCTTATCATTCCTTGCCAGCTTCAAATCTGCGGTATTTGCTTCGGCCTGGAGCGGCCGCTTCAATCTCAGAGTTGAGACACTCGTGCGCTGGCGACTGTAGTACTGACAGACACCTCACATAGGCGCTCCCCTTTCTGGGCATGAGAATATTCATCTAACCCAGACAGAGCGGCTGCTCGAAAGCAAAAAATGTCGAACTGAGCTGGCTATGCTATCAAAGCTTTATAGGCTTGAGATCCGCGTGAGACGCTTTTGCCCCCCCCCCATCACTTTTCCCCCACTGACATCTTTCTAAAGAACCCTTTCTGTGTTCTAAAGAACAACTGATCAAATTATGTGAAGAGAATCGGTTACAATATAGAAGCTGGACAAGAAGTTGAAGATGCAACATCAGAAGCGTATGAATGGAATTTAAAAATAGATTGATTCAGTTCAGTTAGATAATTTCAAATATTTATCAATTACAAAATAGAATAAATAAATATAAATGAATCGCCCCCTATGAGGGGGGGGGGTTGCACTTTTGCTACTTCCCAAGAGTTTACAGGTTTCACTAGGGTCAGACTTGTAAACCGGAACTAATGACGCAGGGAAAGTGCGAAATGCCCTCCTCCCCTTCCGTCGCCGAACAGCGCTAAATAAAGTGAAGATTCCGCCGTTTATTAATGTTTGGGATGCGACACTTCTACTTTTACACAATCATGTTGGCCTGATGGCTGCTGCATGGTCAATAGAATGACCTACAGGCGCAAGCTGATGGACATTTCTATCCTCCCAGATGAATCTGGCACTGATTCACGGAGACTAGAAAATTCGGTCAATCTGGGCTGGAGTCGGATCAGGTGAACTCCGAGCCGCGCGCTTGGTAAGCGGGTTTCCCACCACTGCCACTGCTGGATGAGTACGAAAAAAAAAGAAAGAAAACAATTGGTGTAGTTCATAACATGGGAACGAGTCGGGGGCGACGAGTCCGCCTTTGGCTGCTTGCTCTACCAATGGTGATCGAGTAGTGATTGATTTAAGAAGAAAACAGCCAGTGATGGAAACGCTGTAGGGGGGTACCGACTGATTGCGACCCGACCGGTTGCGCTTATATAACTCTACTGAATCTTCCACTGAAACCATGGTTTTCACCAATTATCAAGCTCCTTTTTATTTTCCTGATTTTATATTTATTCGACTACTGTATCGCAACTCAAGCGGATAACAACAACAATAATGTTTGAACGATTTGAAAAAAATTAGTGTTCTGGACTTTTGCCGAGGCATACAGAGGAAAGTATTAGGTTGATCAAAAGGTTTTTTGAAGGTTCCGGAACATTCGATTCTTGATCGAACCAATGATCTACCATGTGGTAGTAGTAGAACATTCTAGAACCTTCTCCGTATGGGTATATATAGCGCTTCCTCGCTTAAATCACGATGTCAATTCCACGAGAACCATGTTCGATACATCATCTTCTACGAGTGGCGCCGCGGCACCGGAGCGACGGCAACCGTTCGCAACATCAACAGCGTATGGGGGAGGACACCACTTCCATCGCTACGGTCCATCGCTGGTTCGCTCGCTTCAAGGAAGGAGACACGGACTTCGAAGACAAGCCTCGGTCGGGACGCCCCCTCGCCGTCGACGACTCCGTCATTCTCGACGCCGTCAAAGAGGATCCGGAAGTTAACACCCGCAGTCTTGCGACGAGACTTGGGTGTGCCCAATCAACAGTCGTCGGTCGCCTTCAGGCCCTCGGTTACAGAAAAGTGCTGACTCGATGGATACCTCATGTCTTGACCGATAGCATGCGGTACACCCGGGTATCCATTTGTCAGTCTCTCCTTCTCCGCCCACATCGCAAGGAGCTGGACCTAGTTACTGGAGATGAAAGCTGGATCCTCTACGACGCTAACAAGCACCGCGCCGTCTGGCTCCCGCGAGGAGAACAGCCGCCGACGCAAGCCAAATCCGACCTCCACCCCAAGAAGTTTCTCCTTTGCTGCTTCTGGGATTCAAAAGGAATGCTGTACTACGAACTGCTCAAGCAAGGCCACACCGTCACCGCTCCCTATTACGCTGGTCAGCTGCAGAAACTTGCGGAAGCTTTCGAGAAAAACGGCCTAGACGAACTTTTGTGCACCTCCTCCATGACAACGCTAGGCCTCACATAGGTAAAGAGACCCGTGCAAAATTGGAGGAGCTAGGCTGGGACACCGTTCCTCATCCACCCTATTCACCTGACATTGCCTCCTCAGATTACCAGCTTTCCTAGCAAAAAAAAAACGATTCGTCAACTATGACCACCTTGAACAAGTGGTCGGTGACTTCTTTGACTCCCAGTCTCCCCAGTTCTGGGAGAAGGGAATCGCTGACCTGCCCGTTAGGTGAGGACAATGTTATGACTAACGATGATTATTATATTGTTGATTAGGTTGCATTGTTTGCTGAGCTGCAAAATAAACAGAAAAAATCTCAACCCTATCAAAACGTTTTGATCAACCTGATAGTTCCGAGGTGGATGAACCAGTGTAAACAACGGTGATTCTTTTGAGACGATGCTGATTCCAATTTTGCAGAACCCCTTTAAATGCCCCAAAGTCATGGCCCATCATTGTAGAGGATTCCCTAACCGGGGGGGGGGTATTTGGTCGGGTACAGGAGGGTCGCACTTGGGCTGGGAAAAATTTTTTGATAGGTGATTTATCTTGTTCTCTTGTTTCAGGGACGTTGTAAAGAACAAGAGGGAGGGGGTCGTCTTTGTTCGCTGTTTCGCTGTTAAGAGAGGAGGCCCTACCTCCCTTCTGAAAAAGGTTGCTCACTTTTTAAGTTTTTTTTCCTGTTCACGTGTACTTTCTACCTCCCCCCCCCTCCCGCTCGACAACAAAAATTTTTGGATAAAAGTAGAAAAATTTTATGGGAATTCCGAACATTTTCCTAGTCTCACCCGAAAAAGGGAACCTAAGAAATGGTTTGTAAAGAGGGGGATCGTATAAAAGGGGGGGTGTACGGATTCGCGACCAAAATCCCCAACCGATGATGTGCCCTGCCCAAAATTCCTAGCGGCCAGGACAGTGGCTTTTCAAAACAATTTACCCAGATTTCGACCTGGTATGACCTTATTTTAGGAGTACAGTGTTTTTTGCTCGAGTTCAGAACTACAGTAGAATTGACTTGCCTCTTCAAATGCCGAATCACAATTTCCAACATGGATTTGTGTGCTGGTGGCAATTTATGAACATAGTAGTGAATGTGGTCAACACGAGTTCGTCGATCGTCCATTTTAGCGGCGTTGATGAACAAATTGTGCTGTTCGAATGTCATCAACGGTTCTGGCAGATTCCTAAATACAAGTAAATATTCTGCGGCCACGGAACGAAGGTACAATTGAATTTGCACGAAAACTGCTTACAAAGCATGTCATTTGCTGCGTCTGTCCTAATGGGTCTTTCAAAAGAACACTTAGACATAAGTACAAAATTTGATTCACTTCAAGTTACTGGATTGGCGATGCACTGCTATTAGGAGCACCATGGAAATGCGGGACCCTTCCTAGACATGGAGAGGAAGGAGGAGATGTAAAGAAAGTTGCACTCAGAACACAAATGGCCACGGCAGACACTTGAAGAATACCTATCCCAAAACTACTTTTCTCTCGCACTCCACAAGGACCACCCTAAGTGGACGCATTTCGGTGCCAATAATGCTGGAAGGGCATTCAAAGCTGCACAGCCTAAGCGGCTAGCAGCTTTCACCACCAAAAAAATGCACAGCTGTGATAATTGGATGACGTCTGAAACACGAACCTCTACCCAAAAGGTAGGATACGTTGATGCTGTGGTCCCGCTACGAACAACGTGAACGGCAAGCTGCCCATTGCAGCTGCCCATTGAAGAAAGTTGCACTCAAACACAAATGGCCACGGCAGACACTTGAAGAATATCTATCCCAAAACTACTTTTCTCTCGCACTCCACAAGGACCACCCTAAGTGGACGCACGAACGATCAATTTTCTTCACCGCCTCGAGGTGCTCTTATTGTTAAGTAAAGAATATCAGGGATGATGGAGACAAGTAGCGCTTCAACGATACTTAGGCAATGCCTGATCGCGAATTCCAGAAAACAAGATTTCAACAGTTTCGGTGCTGTGGACCCCGTACCATCGACGAGCTATTTGGGCCTTGGAGGTAATAAAAGGGGGGTTCATTGGAGATTTCACGTTGGAGGCGCACGTATCTAAAGATTGGGTAATAGTAAAGAAACTGGAAGATCAAGTCGAACGATCAATTTTGACCGCCCCGAGGTGCTCTTATTGTTAGTGGAGGACTTCGGTCTGGAAAAGGCTTAATCGATGGAAGTGCAACTCTTCTTCTCTGCGACTTCGCCCCCTCTCGCTCACCGTGGGTATAAAACTGATCATTCTGTAACATTGAAAATCCCTTTTCTAAAGGCTGACACGGATGGTAGATGATCACAGTGGGCGTCAAACTCGTGTGGGTGGTCTCTAATTAAATGGTCGTTATAGCGCTCACTGCACATCGTTCTCCACATAAAACCAATTCAAACAACAATGATGGTCTCAAGCAACCCATGACTCAACAAAGAGGCTCATTTGCGCTTGCACGTTTATTGGTCACCAGCTAAACCAGATGTGTACACAGAAAGCACGCAAAGCCGACATCATGTGCCTCATGATCGTATCTCACGCAGGCACGCTACCTACTGAGAATCTCTCACCGAGATGTCGGCAAGTGGGTCGCATTGAGGTTGTAGTGAGGAATTAGTAGGCACAGGTGGGCATATTTCTCAGAATACAGCTACTCTCTTAGTAGAAAGGTGGATCTCACTCATTTACCCGTCTGCTCTACAAATTTTCGGGGATCATGAGGATTCACTCTCTTAACGTGAGAAAATGCCACACACCTACGAAGTCAGGGTCTACGGCAACAGTATTCGTATTGTTGCACGATGACCCGCGCATCTTTCTTGGCCTGTTCTTGCATAATTCTCCTCCAGTTCTAACGTTTCGCATCGAAGCCCAATCATTCTTGAGGAAGTAAGCACGGCCTCTCCCTCAAGGACCATACAGATGTAATGGAATCAGGGCACATCATTAGTTGGGGACTTTGGTCGCGTACATACAATCCTCCCCCCCCCCCTCCGCCTCTGGAGCGTGGCTTGATGCGATCCCCCCCCTAGTTCCGTCCTCACTGAGCAGTTGAGCAGGGAAAGGGAGTATATAGTAAATGTGAAACGGAAAAACCGCGGGATATGGGGTATACAGTACCTATGAAACAGGGAGACAACTCCTATTAGACGGTCAGAAGACAGAAATACGACAACCCTTTTCCCCGCTCCCTGAAACAAAAAATCAATTATCGAAGGTTTTTTTCTCAGATCAAATACGACCCCCTCTACCCGACGACCAAATACGATCCCAGTGTTGAGGACGCAATACGACCCCACCGTTGGAGAATCTCCAACGGTGATGTGCCCTGGATGGAAAAGAACCGCGAAAACCAAAGCAATACGATTCCGGCCAGAGGCCTCGTGACACTACTAATGTCCTTTTTCTCTGAAGAGGCTAAGATTTCTCACCAACCTGAGGAATGTTTTCACCGCACTGCTGATCGTCTTAATTTCCCACTCATCATCGTTGAAGTTCAACTTGTCACCGTTCGCTTTTCGTTTGTCCAAACCGAGTTGCATCAGCTTTTGCACTTTCGACGTCACGCCACAATTACGATAGAGGCCTTGTTCTCGAATTCCTGCGAAGGGACAGGAAATTGTTAGAATTTTGTACTGGAATTACAAATGAGAGAAGAGAATTTTTATGCGTTGCTTTTTGACAAAACGAATGCAGCCCACCTCTTTCTTCGAGGAACGCTATACACTGCTGTACAAAGTCGAAACCAATATCGTCCAATTGCGCTGAAAGATATAAAACTAGTACAAAGGCAAAAGTCATTGTCCTAGTCCACCCCGATCATATAGGCGAAGATAGAGAAACAAGAAGCTTCCCTCATTGGTGCGCCCCTTGCCATCCTAGAAAGAAAAAGTAAAAGGGTGCGCAGGCCAGATGGGATGCTATTGATCCTATAGGATTCTGTAATTAGGATGAATCATCTCCGGAAAGTTCTAGACTGTTTATATGAGCCTACTTAAGGTGTTGTACATTCACTGCTGAATTAACTAACTCATTTCTGCCTTGCTCTCCAGTAGCATGCTATCCTGTAGAGAATTTTGCTGTCTCAATTGTCGAAATGGGTATAGTCGACACTAGATAATTTGGGGCCGTTCAATGCCAATGCTTGTAACCATCTTGTTCGCAAATTTTTCTCACATGTGAATATAAGAGCACTCTATCGGACCGATTTTTTCTTTCCGTATTAAATGGGCGCATATCCTGCAATCGAAACAGCTCATACAAATTAATCCAGGTGTCGCGGGGCCCGAAGTAGTGCTGAAAGATAAGCACGTGGGCGGTGACACAAATGGCTCAATAAATTCCGCTCTTGGAGATTTTGCAATCCCTTGATAGTGACGCCTCGAATAGACGAGCACGAATCCTAATAGCAATATCGACGAGTGATCGTTAGGAGGATTTGACAGTGTTGAGCCCCATCCCACAACGTTCGAGGAGATAGCAAGAGCTAGGCTTGCCATCCACTTGCCCCCTTTGGGAGATGCTGGAAGCGCCATTGGAAGTCCCCGGGGTGAAAAATCTCGACAACATTTGGGTGCGCCCCACAAGTATCGTGTCAGTGACTCGCGGCGGAAAGTCGTACGTCCTCTGAGGTTGCCTTCTTCCACTTGCTGTTTGCGCAATAAGAATGAACTGCCGTTTTGAACGGAATTTGTCACCTGTGATTGATAAAAGATCATTATGTATAAGCAGAGACGTTCCCGGTACAGTGGTGGATTTGGAGCGAACAACCACCGAGGATTTTCAAAGTCCGAAACCCCTCCCGCGACAATAAAATAATTCTCGGTTCAGTTGGTGTTCATCGCTCCTTCTGTTGTATATCAATATGACTTTTCATCACCAGGCTCAAACGCATCACAGAGAGATGCCGTGAGAACTAGGAACAAACGCGACCAAATGTACCAGAAAGAATACTAAGTCAGCTTGACAGTCAACACTTATCAAAAAAGGGTCCGATTCTTTTGCATGACAACGCCCGCCCACACGTTTCACAAATCACTATCCATAAATTGAACGAATTGGGAGTTGAAGTTCTACCTCACCCACCATATTCTCTAGACCTTTCACCAACCGACTGTCACCTTTTCAGACATTTTCAGAACTTCCTTGCTGAAAAATACTTCATCAATTAAGACCAGGCAAAAAAGACCTTCGTGATTTCGTGGATTCTCGACCACATGAAACTTTCCTCAGCTCCACTACCGACCCTTCCCAGTTTTTCTTTCTGTGCGATGGATTTCTCGACTGCTGCCACATTGGCAAAAGTGTGCTGATTCGAATGGTGCTTATTTGGATTAAATCCGATGAGTGTTAAGAAAGTTATGATCGTTTAAAGTTAAACACCCAAAACGCTAAGAACTTTCCGGACAACCTAATACTATACCATCAGCGTGGAAAGGCTAGAGACTATTCAATAAGCAAGTCGCTAAAAATTAACTTCGTCCGTCAAATTATTTTTCATCTAAACTATATTTCATTTCTCTGCGCTTTTGTGCTTGCTTTTTTGAATAAGGTTACTTTGCGGAAATTTTAACCCTATTCCACAATACCATCCAATCGACATTCATCGTGATATCTACCCTGGAGAATGGGCGCACATCGAAGCACTGACGGGCAGTGAACGCTTTCCAAGAAACATTGGGCTATTGAGGGTCACTGGTAATACAGTCTAAAAATGCCCAGTGAGGGCACACGGAGTAGTTGAGGAATTCCTAGACTTTATTTCCAGCACTGAATGAGAAACGTGAAAAAAAGAGAGAATGCGAGCCTCGAGGGAGAGACCAAGACAAAGGATAAAGAAATCAAAGATCGTAGTCTCGAGCTACAAATGATGGTCCGCGGGGCTTCCTACAATGATATGATAACCCCACTATCGATTTGAACCTCAGCACTCGGTCACGGGAGGCTGAGACGTGTCCTGAAGTTTGAAATTACCCTTTATTCACCAGAGGCTTCATCTTTCCTAGCGCTTTCTACGTCGTGCCGGAGACCCTGTAAAGAAACTAAGCCAAGGTTTCATCTTTTTGCTAAATCAATCCTCTACCGCACTTAAGCCTTATCGATAGAGTTGGCAAGAGAACAGGGGGGAATAAGAGAAGAGAAGAGAAGAGAAGAGAAGAGAAGAGAAGAGAAGAGAAGAGAAGAGAAGAGAAGAGAAGAGAAGAGAAGAGAAGAGAAGAGAAGAGAAGAGAAGAGAAGAGAAGAGAAGAGAGAGACGAGGGAAAATCTTCATCTTACCCCTAAACGGACGTTTGAATAAGCCATGAGTAAAGGACCGTGGCAACCGAATCAGGCGCAGTTCGGCTTAGGAGGACGGGATATTCTGAAGCTCCTGTGGAATTCTGTCAAAGTCACTAAATGTCACATGTTTCAGTTACAAAAACGCTTGCTGAACTCGTCACTTATCCTGGAGCTCACTCTCTCCAGATTGAAGCGAAAGCCCTTATCTCCTGGCTCTCAATAATTTCCTCCACTTTCCTGCAGTATAAGGAAGAAAAAGCGTGAAAGTGCCTCCAGAAAAAGAAGGCTCGGCCCAATGACAGGAACTAGCTGTATGCCCCCCCCCCGCTTCATCACAAGCCAAACTGCTCCTGAAATAGTGAAGCTCAGGGGCTATCGAACACTTTTATAAGGAAACTTCGTGAACTAAAAATATGAAAAGAGTCGAGTGTTCTCAACACTTATAGAACGTATAAAGGGAAATTTTGTGGGGTACCATATAACTAGATAGAATAGTCTATGAAATGAATACCGTGACATCCTTCTACAACGAACGCTGGCAAGAATGCGGATCCTTTGTGAAATGATCGTAAGCCATGAGCGATATTATAGCCGACTCCCAGTGGAGGAAACTCTGCCGGCGATGCGTCTGTCCATGACGACGAACGCATTTTACGCGTTGGCTGATTGAAAAATGGGCGAGCAGCAGACATCCACTGAAGCACTTTGCGACAATTTCTGATAGACAATTGCCACTACGGCACACCTTCACAGCACGCTCGACATTACTTGCAGCTCAAATGATGACTGAGATAAGGCGAAATCGGAAGGATGAACGGCAAAGCATGAGCTATTACGAAAGAGAAAGAAATGCCGTCAGAAACACAAATGCAAAACCAACTCTCGAGAACGACGGCATTTGTCATATAACAATGGCGGGTTGGCAGTATGTGGGTGGAAGATGAGCTTTCCAGCCACCCCTTGCCCCTCTTCTCCAATACCTGCTCAAAAGGATATTTCCTCAGGGAGAGAAAGCACACATACTATGAAAAGACAAGAAGAAAGGTAGTTGAAGTCTCTATATGTTTTTGGTACAATAAAGTCAGACGTCTCAATAAGTTACAGATGATTAGCGCAATGGTATGTGATGCCGCACTACACTAGCCCAAATCGAAATATCAAAACCTAATCAGGGCACGGCGGTGTTGCAATTGAGCACATCATTGTGGGGGACTCTCAGCGGAGAACGAGACTGTATTTGAGTTCCCAGGAAGGATCACCTTTGGAAATTTCGCCATGGAAGCCTTAACAAGGTTAGAATCAGAGTCGCTCTGGGGGAACCGTATCACAGTCGCCTTCGTAAGAGGTTCGCAGTTTGCCTGCTCCTCCAAAAAATCAGAGGTAAGTAGAAATAGAGAGGAGGTTAAGTCTGACGTTTCGGTGGCAGATGCTGGAGCGAAAGCCAACGATAGAGGGCTCGGGTTGTACTGAGCAATCAATTTCCCTCATTGCCATGACGTGCGTGATCCCATCACTAAGACTTTCACGTTTTGCAGGCCACTTGATGGGTAGCAGCTTTGCCTGGCAACATAAAAATGAAGGCTCAGACACTTCGACTGCACTCTGCCACCTAGAAATCAAATCGAGAGATTTCAAACAGACGCCGAAATTCGCAACTTGTACCCACTGAAAATGAAAATCACCTATTTCTAGCAAACTTCTGGAAACCTTCGCCCACTGAGCTAACAACTGAACAGCACTGCAATGAAAGTGTCCCTGCTGCAGCACAGGTACGCGGTCCACTGGATTCACGGTCAAAGGCATATGGCACGATAATTTGGTATCGGTCTAAAATGGGCAGGGTGCTATATAGTGGGGAAAATGGCAAAACCTGCGAATAAAAGCCTTCGTTTCCAATGATTCAAAAAGCAATAGATTGAGTTTCCGGTAGGCATCTTGCCAATAACCGCTACGGTAGATACGGCTGCACCTATGTACTCATCCATGCAGCATCATGGCTACTTCATATCAATCCCTTTGTATCATATTTTACTTCGCAAATGAAGCATCAGGTGCGGCCGTCCATTTGTCGCGGGACGGCGGCCCGCGAACAAATGGACGGCCGTACCTGATCCTGACGGGCTCGGTATGTTACAGCTTGATGAGGCGCTATAAGGGTACCTTTCTTGGAAAAGGCGCTACGCAGCGCCTGCTCAGGGGCGCGGAATTCCGTCCTGCCAGGCGTATTAATCCTACTCGTCTTAGGGATTTATCGGGCCAACGGCCTTTAATGATATGCTTTATGACGTCAGCGCCAATGATACAATAAAATTCTTCGCCACTGATGTGCTATGTGAAACGGTCATCTCCTTACTCCAAGCAGGTAGCAGATCTGTGTGGAGTAAGGAGGGGGTCGATCCCGCGTGGATAGGTCAGCGGCTGATCGACCGCCCAAAAAACGCATGTTTGGGCTGGAACCCCCGCGTAAAGAGCGACAGGAGGACCCTTCAAGGTCTTCCCCTCGGGTTGTCTTCTCGCACGAGTCCAAGAAGGACTGTTGCGCCTCATTTAGGCCTGCCCATTCTAGATAGCTTTTTTTCACCGATACGATTGTATACTTGTTTGTTCAATGTGACTAATGGAGTAACTGTCAAGGATGATCAGATAATTACATGTTAACTCTTAGCTATTCGAACCAGCAACCTTCCCACTTTCTCTCTGTAAGCAACTCTAATCATCCTAACGTTGGAAATTGCAGTACGTTGCGAAGCGGCGCTGTAGCGCTACGCTGTAGCGCGACGCTGTAGCGCGACGCTGTAGCGCGACGCTGTAGCGCCTACAGTATGAAACGCTGCCTAACAGCTGCCAGTATGGATGTGGTTTCATGACTTCAAGGCGTCAACATTCGCTGCCTGAGACACTATACGCGAGACAACCACGAGAAACCTCGTTCAGGAGCATGCCGAGTAAAATGACAAAACTGGGATGAAAAGCATTGCAGTTCATTGGACAAAAGGGTTTGTAAAACGCACCCAAGAGACGGGGAAAAAGTAGATCAAGGCCAGCAAAGGGTCGCCGGTTAAGAAATGTGAAGCATACATGTGGTGGGCAGGGACTGCTCCCAGGTGGACGGAGACAGACAGAAAGGTCTTTAAGAAGGTTCCAGAGCACTCAAGAGACGGTAAAAAAGTAGATCTAGGTCGGCAGTAGATCAAGG